TGGAGATGCAGGTGACCCGCCTGAAACAAGGTCTCACCACCAGAAGTCTGGTGGACTTCTTATTCTCTCTTAAATCCAGTTTTTCCCAAGTCTATTAGGTTTTCCTTTTTTTTTTTTTAAGTAAAAATATTTTTTATCCGTGTTTTGAATTTGAACACATAATTTGCCAGAAACTTTTGACGTATACCAGTACTTACAGAAGCCAAATGACACACCAAACAGTGTACAGTAGCTTGGATTTACTTCTAGCCAAGCAAGCCATGATGTCCATCTTAACTACTGTAATGGACAAAAATAATCTTACCCTGCAATATAATAGCACAAAAGCATTCAGGCTGCATCTGGGCCTCAGGCAGCCTCCACCTAAACAAGTGCAGAAAGATGTTATATTGTGATTTTCAGAGCCCGTGTGTTCCATTATTCCTTGATGTACAATAGCTGTCAACAGTCCTGTTTTGACTTTCACACATTTGCTTAATCAGAAACCAATAGAAATAAACAACCAGCTGAAGTGGTGCACAGGAGAAAAATCTTTTCCTTAATCGAGGAGTTGCCCAAAATATGGGTTGCAGATCAGGTTAACTCCACATGATTGGTTTCAAATGAACCTATAGCACGTATTTCAGTTCAATAATAAAAACTGTAGCTGGCCAAGATGTGACTGTATTAAAAAAACTATAGAGAATAATGATACACTTATTTTATAATAAATCTGACACATTTATTTGATTGGCCAGAACAAAACATTTAGAGACCTTTTTCTTTCTGTAGATCAAAACCCCATAAACTGACCCAGGGCAGTAAAATCCCTACGAATTTATCACTATTTGAATTTTTGCTAGACTGGCAATTTTCACTAAGAAACTGCTACCATTAACAGTTTCACTGTTTCTGTGTCCCATTTAAACACAAACAGGACTCCAAAGAGCTGGCAAACCCCAGCTCCTGTTGAGCAGCTTTCTGCTGCCCTGCTCTCCCCAGCCCCATCCCTCCCAGAAGTCAGGGTCAGGACACTGCTCACAAATCATCTCTGCATCCCTTTGACACGTGCCAAGCTCTAATTAAGCTTGAAAACCCTCTAGAAATCCAGATTTCTTTTTACCCTGCCCTGAAAATGCCAGATTGCTCCTGAAGTCTATTTAGAGGGAGCGAAGCTGAGGCTTCTCTAATTAGAGCTGAGTCTCCAGTTATCCCTTCACCCCATATACCAGGAGTGAAGACAAGTCTTGCCAGAGAGGAGTCACATCTAGACTAGTCTACCAGCATTATGCAATGAAAGGGGGCGTGCTGTGCAAGGAGGAGTTTCTGCTGGAAAGGGAGACAGCTCAGAGTCACAGCTTCCTCTTCAAGATTCCAAAACTGATGGAAAGATTTGGTTTCCCTACAACACCCTCCTTTTGGGGAAGAAGAGGCAGCCCTCTGCTTGGACTTCGCTGATCTCCCCATTTAGTGGGAAAGCACACAAGATCCAGAGCTTAGGGGGCACCTCCCAAAGTTATTTGGTGCTTCTAGGAGCTACCTGGTGAATGACAACATAAAGGATTCAATGTGTGTGCCCAAGTGTCGAGCAACTGCTGCCTATTAAAGACTTTAAGGAAGGAAATACTTTCCAGACACACAAGCCTCTTCTAAGGGAATTGCTAACCCGTAGGATGTCAGACACGTAATGCCAATGCCATAAATGTCACCATACAGCAGTTTTCATTCAGAAAATACATGACTGATGTCAAGAAACCCCAAAGAAATATGTCTCCCTTTTAATTCCTCTTACCCCTGCATCTTTCTTGAGGGATTTGGGAAACAGGCTTCAGGAGAGGCTTTGAACAGTCACGCAAAATCAGTTGTCTCCAGATTTCCGAGAGTGGGAAATAGCTAAAAAGTTGCCACGTCTTTTGGGAGTGCAAGAAAAGGAGTGCAGAGCTAACATATAGCTCCAGCACAGGTCTGGTGCCTTCACAACCTGGTGCCTTCACAGAGCTGCCAGCACAGCCCATCCTTGGGGATGAGGAGCTGGTGGGTCCCAGGGACCTATGAGACTTTTTTTACTAGGAAGGATTTCAGAGCAGAAGCCTGGTGGGGGAAAAAAAAAAAAGTCATCAGTGGAGGCAGGGGAGTTGATGCTTCCTGCAAAATTATTGTACCCCAACAGGAAAGATAAAAAACCCCAAAAGCAAACCTGTTTTTTCCCCATCCTGTTTGGGGTACACACACAACAAAGAGAAGATGGAGCCAGGGGCATCTTACAAGGCTGCAGCCAGACAAATCCCAAGGAATAGGACTGCATGGAAGGCAGCAACCCCTGAGCCTTGTGGTCAGCAATGTCTATTTGCCCCTGTAACACTGAGTTCGGGCTGGGACCGAGCTGCTTTTCCTCAACTCCCCTGTGTCTGGGAACCCTAGACAGGATTCCCTTTCCCAGGTCTGGGAAAACTAACCTGTTGTTCTCATCCCTTTTTCTTATTTGTTTGTTTTACGTTTCCCTAAGCCAAAAGCGCTGCTATATTTATTAATTTTGATCCTAGAGGGGTTTCTCTGGAGGTGCAGGGTAAGTGGCTACAGTTATGCTTCCACAGCACTGGCACCCTCTGCATAGGGAGATTAAGGTCCTGGTTAATTTTATTTAAATGCCTCCAGCTCTGTTTGTCAATAGGGAAAGACAGACGTCTCCAGGGGTGAGACAAACCAAGATGGACTAAGCACCCTGGAGGTGAGCCTGTACAATGCCTTATAGCAACGACCCTCCTGGTTTAGATGTGTTAGAGAAGTGGGGTTAGATCAGGCTTGAGTTTACCAGCTCAGGACTGCATCCAGGCTTGGGTTCAAGTCTGCATCTGGAAGAGGAGTTGTACCCATGTTCTTGGAAACTCAAACCAAGACCTGGACTGAATAGTCCCTATTTTTTACTGTGTTACCGTTGCATTTCATGGTCACCAAGGTGACTTTCTCCCTCCTCACCTCCCGAGATGTGGCTCCCCCCGGAGTGGGCTGTTTGTACCCCCAGCAGAAAATAAAAGAGTCACACCAGCAGCAGAGGGTGTGGGGGCAGACGCTTTTTGGGCACCAGAACTGGCAGTTTTTAGAGCCTCCAAATGAGTAGGCGACTGTGCTGAGGCTCTTTCTCCCACCACAAATCACGAAGCCAAATATCTCAGCTGCACTGCATGTCTGCAGGAGCTCCTCCTCCAGTGCTGGCTGGTGTGGGAAGGGCTCTGTTGGCACACAGCTCGCCCGATCGCTTGCGTGTGTGTGGTCAAAATTAAGGCAAGCGTGTGTTCAGCTCCTTCTGCCACTTGCAACCTGTCTGGCTTCACAAGGACACCCAGAGCACGCCAAACATCAGACTGTGTGCACACAGCCAAACCCCCCAGGGATGCTGGCACTTGAAGTGCAGAGAGGGCTGGGAGACCTGGCATAAGGGCACCAGAGGGCAGAGGTCTTCTCTGCTTCATAGAGAAAGGAGGGAAACAAATTAGCTAAAGGTACTAGAAACAGAGGTATCTATCTCGTACCTTATAAAAGAAGGGCATTTCCAGTGAAACAGATGGGTTTAAGTGCCATTTAAAGCAACTCCTGCTTTGCCCAAGAAAGCCTCACATAAACTTTGCATGTGGATTACGCAAGCAGTTTATACAAGGGAGAGTCTGGCTACGCATCTCTAACATCACAGAAAGCCTTCTTAGTCAAACCTGAACCAGAGAAATCAAGAAAAAGCAGCCCCTATATCCCTGAACCTCAAGCAGTGCTGTTGACTTAAGCTGCCTGTCATTGGGAGCTGTGCTTAGTTCTGTAACTGCTGCTTCTCCCTCCTTTTTCTGCTCCCGTCCTTTGATAGCCCGGTCTCAGGGAGACATTTTTTTAGGAACATGTAGCAGCAGGGCTTCGTTCTTTCTTGTGAATTGTAAAGACAATCACAAAAGTGCACAGGTAAGAGGTTAAGAGATTTCAGAATAACAATCATGTAAGTAGAAGTTGTCATAAACATTATGTCTCTAAACTCTTCAGAGCCAAGTCACTGATTTAGCAGGTACTGCCTCAGTCTCTTAGCACCTTCCCCTACGTTACTTTTCTTCAGGGACCAGAGCAATGAGAGCTAAGCCTTCAGAGACTTCCTTTCTCTGCCTCTTTTCTTTTCCAATTGTGTACTGTAGACTAAGGTCATAACCAACATGTGCTTTAGACCTGTGAAGGGTGAAAAATGTGGAAGATGGGCAATTGGTCATCATGTTTAATGAAGAGGCACTAGACGCAGAAAAAGGTGGAGTTCTTTGTTCCCTTCCAGTCAAAGCACTACTTAGCAGCCAGAACCTCAAAAATCAAGGCAGGGAAAATGATAAGACAGTCAGACTTTGTTAGAATAATCAGCATGGATAGGGGAAAGATTAGCTTGAATGAAGTTTAGAGAGACTATTATCTTGTCATCCTTACTCTGTACAGGCTGGTCCAACCATTCAGCTCACACTTCTGCTGCTGCCATTTCAGAAGCTTTGGGAACAGCCAGGGCTGGTTTTCAATGCTAAGCTGATGGGAGCACACACAAGCAACAGGTGAACACAAAAACGCAGAAGAAATTAAAGTGTTAAAAAAAAATTAATCCCAAGGATATAAAATATAACGGGGGAAATAGAGTGGAGTCAGGGCAAGAGGCTTCCAGCAGTGAAAGAAAGGCTGCAGCTTTGGCTCATTGCTTCAACCAGAGCTTAAGAAAGTCTAGTACTGACAAAAATGAGGAGGTAGAAGAACACTCAAAATACCTGCTACACTAAAAGCCTGGAAGTTCATCTCCTGTAGAAAAGAGTATTTCTGGTAGTGCATTGCTGCATCTGCTTATACCCATGAATGCTCCCACCACCAGCACTCGTTTACTCCTGTGAGTAGCTCACACCTGAGCCTTTTCCCTGTAAGGACCTACACCTGTTTCCTGTGGCTCTGGGGGGCTGTGCTCACACACTCCCCCTGTGGTCAAGTAGGTTAGGGATCAGCTGGCCCTACATGAACCATACCTGGGAGTAGTCCTTGGACCTCACCTGTTGTGCTTCAGATGTCATTCCTACTGGCCAGGGCTCTTATAACAGTCTGGAAAGGAAACAAGCAGCATGTTAACACCATCACCTCACTCTTGTTTCCCTGGGCTGGAGTCACACAACCCCTTCTGATCATAAAAAAAAAAAACAACCAAAACCACAACAACAACAACAACAACCTCAAATAACCCCCCCAAAAAACCCCCCCAATCAACACACTGTTTTTGTCTGAGAGGAGAGAGAAGAAACTTGGTTTTAACTAGGAGTCCAAATAAACCTGTCTGCTCTTTGTTGAAAGCATCTTCTGTTAACAGAAGATGTAGTGTTAGATCATCACAGAATGGTTTGGATTGGAAGAGACCTTTAAAGGCCATCTAGGCCAACTCCCCTGCCGTGGCCAGGGACACCAACTACACCAGGGTGTATCCAACCTGCTCTTGAATGTTTCCAGGTATGGGGCATGTACCCCCTACTCTCCGTGCCAGTGTTTCACCACTCTGATTGTAAAAACCTTCTTCCTCATATCTAATCTAAATCAATCCTCTTTTAGTTTAAAACCATTACCTCTTGCCCCTTCATATCAGGCCCTGCTAAAAAGTTTGTCCCCATCTTTCTCTTAGGCCCCCTTTAAGTACTGAAAGGACACAATAAGGTCCCGTCAGAGACCTTATTAGGGGAGTGCAAAGGACTGAAATAAACATTAATAAGCCAGCTAAACTAATGAAGTAAACTTTTCTCACACACTTGAAAGAGTCTAAAAAGTGGCTAAAATGCAGCTGCTGTAACAGTGGGATGGGACAACATTTTATGGTACTTTCACAGGTGAACAAACTTGTGCAAATTTTCAGTCTTCCTATTTCACGTTTCTCAGGCCAGATTTTTGGTGACTCTTTCTTGGATAGAGTGTTTCCACAGCTGTTCTTGATCTATGGATCAAGAGTGAGTCCTTCTGTCTGCAGCAGGAAAACAGAGTGAAAACTAAATAAAGAAATGCAGGGGTATAACTCTTCTTACCTCAGTGTGGCCACTTCTGACTCATACCCCCGGTGACAGCGAAACCTGAACTGCGGCTGCATCCTCATAACTGGTTGCTGGCTTTGGTCAGAGCTTTGGACAAGGCTTGGAACAACACTGTCTCTCTCTAAGAGAACAGGAACAGAGTACTTTCAATGCCTGTGTCTCGTGTCGTGCAATTCAGAGATGCAAAAGTGCAAACACCCAACCACCCACTTAAACAACCCAGAGGACCACTGCTGAGGAGCTGTGGGGTACGAGTGGAGCATAAGGATGAGGGCAGCGAGCTTGGTGAGTGTAAGCTTAAAGTAAATATTTGAACAACAAACTGGAATTCAGCCAGCTCGAGCATTTTATTCAAAAGGAAGGATATGAGGGATAGCCGAAGTTGGCATCAGGGTGATATAGAAAATTCCAAAGGAAAGAAGATAAAATAAACAAGGGTATTCACAGCGGAGAGAGGGAGTTATGAACCCCCTGAAGCTCAGAGAAAAATCTGTTGCAGATACGTGGGTAACAGATCTCTGGTTTGAGAACAAAAGTCGTTGCAGCGACTCTGTAAGAAGGTGTCATGGTTTAGGAATGGCATTCCCCAATTTAGTGTTCCCACTGAAACACCCCGGCCCGCGCGCCCCTGGCTCGCTTCCCCTGCCCCTCCCCCTGTGGTGGGATGGAAGGGAGAATTGGAGGCACAAAAAAAGTAAAGGTCACGGGTCGGCACAAGAACAATTCACTGGAAACAGCAATGAAATAAGAGCATGAACAGCAACAACAACAGCAGAGTGCACGGGAGGGGTGAACGATTCACACCCGAGCGCTCACCACGTGCAACCCAACGCTGCCCCAACAGCTCACCCCGCAAAACTGATCCCCCTCCTTCCCCCCCTGGCGTGCTGTGAGGTGGTATTGAACAACCCCAGGGTCCTGGCTGTGCCCCTCCTGGCTGCCTCAAAAGTTAACCCTGCCCTGGCCAGAACCAGGACAGAGGGGTTTGGGCAAAGCCGGGGAGTGACTGAAACTAAGGCGTGAGGAAGGAAGGATGGCTGTTAAATACTCAGCCACAGTCTGATATCATTTCAGCATGATAATGGTTTTCAGAACAAAAATAATAGCAAATCTTCCAATTGAGCATGCATGAAGCACAAAACTATTAAAAAACAAAGTTTAGGCAATAAAACATTATGTGGAGGCAAAAGAAGACTTCATTACAAATTAAATCTCTGTTTCTCTGCAGGTACTTGCATAGCACCCAGTGGTTTCAGTGGAGTAGGCATTCAGGCTACTTATCTTAGCCTGAGACTCTGTAAACAAGGGGACTTGGGTTTCGTGTCAGGGAATGCTGAACAGGGAATCTCTTTCTAGAGCAAATTCAACCCCTCCACTCTAGGCAGCCAGAGAGAACAAATCTGGCTTTCCTACCAGTTGAATTGGAAAAAAAAATGTCAGTTTTGGGCCTCAGCAATGGTTCTGTTTTGTGTGCTTGTTCTCCCTTGTTTGAGAAATAGTGGGGAAACAACGTCCTTTGGTTTCTGGACATATTCCTCTTAGATGTAGATGGATGGAACTCGCAGCCTTTGATGAGGAAGACAGAACAGAATCTCCAACAAAAGGAGGAAACACTTGTAGGTTTTTTTTCTTCCAGATGTTCATTCAAACATTTCAGCTAACATAAAAAAAAGCTTAAAACAGACTAACCAAAATCACTTTTAATCAGGTTTTGTTTCCATGGCACCTTTGATGTCATAAGCTTAATAGCTCTCCAGTGATCCATAGAGTCTTCCAGGAAAAAAAAAAAAAAGGCTAAACAACCTGAATGCCAAATGTTGAATATACCTTTAAAAATATCCTTTCTGAAAAGTTTTCAGGCCTCCCTTCTCTTTTAAGTGTGAAGGGAAACCAAAAATCCAACCAGGAAATCTTTGCACAGCAGTTGGAATGTACGGAGACCTGCAAATATATTATTAAACTGCAAAGAAAATGCATTAAAAAAACTGTTATAAAAATGGCTGTAAACTACGTTTTTTATTTGTTCTACAGACGCAAACTCTCAAGAAACATTTTTCTGTCAAAACTGAAACAGACTGTGGTGTTCAGCAGCACATTTCTGCACCAGAGAAACATCCTTGGTACAGTGTTTTTGCTCTTTGTCTGATGTTTTTTTCCAAGGATTTTCTGATTAATCATGGAGCTGATGGATGATAGTAGTCATGCCACGGCTGCTACTAACACATACAAGTCTTGGCAGAGGTGAAGTAGATTTAATTTGCTTTCATTTAAAAGTTTTTGCTTGGTAATACTTCCATGGCCTGATCTGGCACTTGTGGTCAAGCAACATTCCCAGTCCCATCAGCCCTCAAGATCCTGATCTGACTTTATATGAATCTTTTATATAAATCTTTGCTTTGATGCTTTTCTGGTTATCACTGCAACTGTTTGAAGAGCAACACATCCTTCTGCCTGGTGATTCTGGCATGTATAAGAAAGGGACTAAATCTTCAGGTGACATGGCTTAGGGAAACTTGCTGCTGGAGACATTAAATATCATGAACTATACTAAAAAAAAAAATCCTAATCCTGATTAGAAGCTTTGTTTCTTTGAAGGTAGAGTGTAATGATTTTGATGTGCTGATAGTAAAATACGCAGCAAAGGTCCACTAACTTAAATGGAAGGAACCACTTAAAAATCCAAATTTTTTTAAAAGAAAAGTTGGCAAAGCTCTCTTTAAGAGATATGAAACATGCGTATCAAACAAGATATCTATAAAACATGATATAAACAAAATGAAATAATTCTTTGAAATAGAATCTACTGATCAAGTTACTTTTTAATTTACTGTTTCTAGAACAGAAAAAGTTGTCTTCTTCACACATCTGGGCTTGAATTCTGCAATACAGAATCTGGATGCTGTCAAATATACTAGCTAACCATAATTTACAACCCATTCAGCAAAATAAATAAACTTTTCATATGGAAATAATGATCATATTTTAAAAGGATAAAATTTAATAGAATTTTAAGCATAACTTAAAAATTCGATGTTTCCTTTACACATGGAAGGGATTGAACTAAAATCACAACACTTGTGAATTACTGAGGACTTCTGATGAACTTAACAGAGAATGTAACGGAGTTTATTGTATCTTAAATCACCTGTATACATTTCAGAATTTGGCCCTATCACAATTTCTCTGATACAAAATATAGTGGCTTGTCTATTTTTGGTCTAGAATGGTAAGATAATAAATTAAGAAACAGATTACAAACCCCTCAAACAACAAATCCCCCCACATATTTTTATTTTATATTGTCACATATTCGGGTTTTTGTTTGGGCCACTGGCTTGTTAGTCTCTCTAAACTTGTGTTATTATTGAAAAGATAAAGTATGTTGCTACAGTGTATTAAAAGACAGAAAAAAACCCTTTTTATATTTTGATAATACTTTTTTCTTAACTATCTTGTGTGGCTTGTGTTTTGCATAATGAGAGAGATTTATTTAGATATACGTTTATATACTCATGTATTTATAGGCTATTATTCAAAATTGTGTTCTGTACAAAACACCAGCAATTTTCTCACTGGGAATTCTTCTGGCTAAAGTTCCCCAATGAACCTCACAGACATTCATGTACAGAGCCATGTTCAAGTTTTAATGTGTTTCTATTTATCCTGCTTAAAAACAAATATTTCCAGATAGAAGAGACTGACAGACACATAAAAGACCCAATCAATGCAGATATATGAAGTGTGATATGAACTGGATCTTGCTTAATCCCCTTGTGGAAAGCCTTAGAAAGGTGCTTTCCAAAATACTCTTGGATATGAGAACGTTCCTTATAAATTGCTTTATAAGAGAAGGATGATGAAAAATAATATTAATCTCTGTAGCTGATATTGGGAACAACTGACTGTAAGCTGGCTGATGATATGCCTAAAAGCTGTGTTAGATATAGCACTTACAAGGCAAACCCAAGCAAAACATGTCTCCTATTAAGTTAATATGAAATGCACATAACTTTAAATCTTGTGCAGTTATACATATCTATCCTGTATTTGGAAAGTGAATCCCTGATTAAAGACAGGGACCAGGATCTGTAGGGATCCAGATCTGTGACTGGAGCAAGTGGAAACCACAAATAATTCAGAATTTTTCAGAGCATGTTGTTATCATCACTACACACACTGACATCTGCACACGCTGACTTACACTAACTTCTTCTCTTTTTGTTTTTGGTAATTGGAAATAAAATAGAATGTTTTAAAGGAAAAAAAAATGTCTTACTGAAAGCTGTTAACTTTTCCACCTTGAAAATATTATCCTCCTTTTTTTCTTCTTAATCATGATTTCTCCTTTCTCAGACTTGTCTTAGCCACTTTCTCCCTCCTGCTTGCTTTCTGTCTTGGAGACTAACAGGTCTCAGGAATGAACTTCAGAGGAGTCTGAAAGAAAAAAAAATCTCTTCCAGATTGGCTATTTTTTGATTAAATCCAACAAATACATATTGCAGGCAGTTCAGAAAACTGGCCATAAAATACACACTCTTTCATCTCTGTGCTACCCCTTCAGCTGCAGATGCAAGCAGTAATAATCAGAAGCTGGCAGTGAACTTCAGTCTGCTTCACTTTTTTAGAGGATCCGGGACTTCTTTTTGCAACACAAGTTCACCCTTGTCACAAGAAGATATTCTTACAAACATGCCACTTTTTTCCATTCTTCCATCTCTTGATTGTTCTTTTGGTGTGGATTTTGTTTGATTTTGTTTTTTTTCCTTTAGAGCCCGTTATTTTTCTTCTTGATTCAAATCCTCTCTTAAACTGATCAGAGTCAACCACGTTCTGTTTTCACAGTCAGTGATGGGATTCCAGCACCTTTTCTCTCTGCATCATCTACATAACAGCAATTTTTTTCTCCCATAGCATGTTCCTTCTGAAGAGCCCAACTCAGTCTGCAGCAATGGTTTACCTTAAAAAAACCCCCTCTTTCTCTCCTCTTATCCATTCTCCACCCCTTCCTCCCCTCCACCCAATCAGCAGAGTAACTCCAGTATTAAAGATAACCATTTCTTTGAAACTCACTCAGCATTTCTGCCCAAGTTACGTAAAGAATATAGGTTTTCTATTCCCATTTTTAAGTTGTATCTTTAAACTATTATTTCAGCAACTTTTTACTTTACCTGTTCCAGGGATCCAACTTCTCTTATGTTTAATTATCTTCTGTCCTTCAGTTCAGCATAAGATCAAATATTCAAAGGTACCAAGTAGCTCCCTTTCATTCCAGATTTACATCACAGTAATAAAGTCTAGACTCAAAGCCCCAGTACAATGTCTATGCCACTGATTTTATTGCTATTTGCATGTACTATACTGTAGTGTCCGATAAAAAACACGTGTTTCTGATTTAGGCAATGGCCTCTAACTCAGAGTTAGCTTTTTCTTCCACAAACACATAAAATGCACATAAGGAGAATATAAAGGCCATGGCTAACATAAAAGTGAGCTGAACTGCAGCAGCTTTAGGCCCAGCAGTTTCTTATTGTTCCACTTTTGCAGCTCAGTGGCCAAGTGAAAGACAGAACACCCCGACTGCACCGCAGCCCAGGCAGGGGCTCAGGAGCCACAGAGCATCACCCACCAGAGAGAACTCAGAACAAACCCACAGCTTGTTGTTTGTTTTGAAATTGGACCAAGCAGAACAATAAATACTCAGCTTGATACACCTCAATCCAAATACTTCTTCATCGTTCTGCATGTGTATCATGTACAGGATTGATCCCACCTCAGCACTTCAGCTTTAGAAGAGCAACTTGTCTAATGATTACAGCAAGGAATAAGGAGCTGAGAACCCTAGGTTGTGGTCTTAGCTCTGTTTGAAATTCCTCCACAAAAAAAACAAACCTAAAAACAAGCAAGAATTTGAAGAGTTCCTGGCAGGACACTCCACTGAACCCTGGAGCGAGCTGTGATTTGCACCAGCTGGTGCTCTGACCAAGGCTCCACTTCTGCTTCAGGAGCCCTGTTTTATCTGCTTTCCTAGTAGGAAGAATCTCTGTTTGTGCTTCTTTCCTTAAACTTGCTAGTTTGAGCAAAAGTACAAGCTGGCCACTCTCCTGGGGGAATGAGACAACAAACTCCCGTGGGTGAGAGGGGTCAGTCTGTGCTTCTAGCTCAGACCTGCAGTGTTTATCAGGATGAAGAACTGAGTGCTGCATCCTGCCAGGAGCCTCCTTTTAATTGTGGAACTTGAGCATGGTGAGAGAATTCTTTGGAGTGAGACCTTTACACAGGTACTCAAAACTAACCATTAATAATGGGCTAAATTGAATTGAACCTAGACTGGTCCACTGCTACTAGTTTCACACTCCCAACACTTCACAAAAGCTAGAGTTTAAATAAAAGCTCTTTGTCTGACTCCTGATGGCTTCAACCTGTACAATACTTGAATGCTCTCCAATTTCATTAGTCTGTTTTTTTTTCATAGATGTTTAATTTGAGGTATTTTTGCTGTGTCCTGATGATATTAGAGTAAATCATGAGGCATTGCACTGGCTTTTTGGTGATGACCATCCAGCGAGTCTGGTAAAAAAAAAAAAAGAAAAAAGAAAAATCACAAGGTAACAGGCTGCTGCTTTTTAAAGTTCTTCTATACACAGGATTTCAGCCACGTAACTTCTACCCATTTTAATGGCCTTACATAACAGAAACCCTTTTCACATGTTGGGTCTGTGCTGTGTTTGTGGGCCTGTTTGTCTGCACAACAAACATTCCCTAAAACACGCTTAGGGGTCTGAACGAGAAGAGGGAATGAATTATCTCAGGATGCTTTTTGTGGCTGCTGTCTCCAGTCGTCCTTCGAGCATCTCTGCGGAGGTGCCTCAGCTGGTCACCAGTTTGCAGTTCAGTGTGTGATTGAAACCCAGACTTGGTACAAGTTCTCCTCAACACAGACCCCAGACTGTGAGTAGCTGCCACGTGGAGAGATGAGACACCGCTGCAGCAAGGGTGGGAAGAAGGGCAGCATGGACTTCTGCCTGAGAAATCACTGCTCATCATAGATTAGGACATCTGTGTTTATCAGTCACAGCCCTTTGGGTCTTACTTGTCGTTTAACCTACTTTTACACAGGTCCAGAGGTCTTTGGGTAGCTATAAATAGGAATTTAGCTATGGTAAAGCCCCTTTACTTTGCTAAAGAGGTGAAATGAGGTTCATTGTGAATAAACACTCAGGTGAAAGCTTCTCAAAAGGTACAGTGTTTGGGATTGTTGACAATAGATATGATTTAAATTAGGGTTTTTTTTAAAAATCAGATTGTTTTGTTCTCTGTGTAAGGGGCATGCAAAACATGATTAAGTCACTGAATAATGGTAGATTTGGTGGTATTTGCTTTTTTTGGATGGGTGCCTAAGTAGTCTAAACCATATATACACATGCTGACATCACTGGATGTGAGATTACAGAAATGGAGACTTACATATGCCTTTTTAGTAATTAAAATTTCTATTGTATTTGGTGTCTTTATTAGGAATCCCTGAGCCCTCTTAATTCCCATGGTCAGAGTCTCTGTTGCCTATTGTTAATATTCTTGCAATATAAATACATTTTCACGTCACTTTAAGGACCTTATGTGAACAATACCCAAATAAACACAAAATAATGAATCATATAATTTCTGGACACTTCACATGCAAGTAGTATGAATTCAGGTCATGGAGCACAGTGAATTTATGGGGATGCTATGCTGGCTTGTAAGACCAACTAAACGAAAAAGTAAAGTAGATTGCCTTAGCTGATCTGCAAAGAAAACTTTGAATACTTCCTTTGCATTTTGTTTACCAGTGAGTTTCAAGCAGATGTGTGTTCTCACCAGCCAGTCCCTCTCATTTGCATTTCAGCACTGCCCTGTTGCTGTGGCTGGGGTAAGCAGAAGGGAGAAGAGGCCATTCACGTAAAAAAAGGGCAAAATCAGTGTTGTGAAGAGGTGGCAACGGGCTGACCCTGTCACCTGCTCCCCCTGCAGCCTCTGAAGGCTGGGTGAGAGCACTGGTGAAGTGACTAATCCAATAGGTGAACAATGCACCAATATACCAAACACCAGTGTATTTGGTATGATGGTTCTTACCCCACATCCACCTTGCTAAACTGTCTATGCACCAAACTGATGGTGCAATCCAAGTGGTGTGGTTTGGCTCCTGCTTCTCCTGTGATCTCACAGTGCCCCAAGGCTGCCTTGATGTTCCTGGCTTGGTGGTAATTACGCTGGGTGCTGTATTTAATATAATTTCTGTATTTCAAACTGACATAAAACCAAAATCTCATAGTACTACTGAAAGTAGGGTGTTTGGATAGGCAAGAAAGGAGGAGGAACAAGAACTTAGTATGTACTGCAATTACATATCCATTAAGCTATACCTAACACTAAGTTTAAATTAGATATCATTGTTAATTAACACAAGTGGAATAGTTTTACTGATTTTTTGTATTTATTTAAGTTCCATTCCTCTCAGATTTTGCTTGGCAGGTGTCTGAATTGTCTATCAGACTAACTTTTGTCTTTTGCCCTGGACCACTCATAGATTATTGTGTTTTCACCAACAAAAGACCAGTAGTTGCCATAATAAATCAATCAGATACTACCTCTGGAAAAGGCAAGTCCCAGTTATTAATCACTGACCTGTTTACATTTTACCTTCTGAAATTGAGAGGTGTCATGTGAGCTGAAATGAGTCCTGAAATGTTTTGCATTGTGGTTTTAGGAGTGGATGATCTGTTAGGTCTTTGCCTGCAATTCCCAGTGAGACAGGGCAGGCTCAACACTCTCAGCTCCAACACACCACAAATGTTTTGTCACAACCAGTAGGACACACCTGCAAACAAAGATGTAACAATGCCACACGTTTTTCTTTCAGAAAGGCTCCGTTCTCTGTGTTCAACAATAACTCCTGAAGTCTGACATATTCCTATGAAAACAAATGGTCTTCCCTGGTTTACAAACTCCCCCAAATACACTGTATATCTGCCCCAACAATGAGTACAAACCTTCAGTTACCCGAAGAACAAGTCAGAAAACCGGATGAAAGCGAAGAGGTTTGGATTTCCTGAAGAAACAATCCTGCGATATTTTCTTGTTTTGATGAAAACCAAAGTATTTTGATGAACAGCATTTTAAATAACATGAGGGGGAAAAAAAATCTGTTACTAAATAAAATCTCCAACGTGCAAAACTTTTTTCTCCCCTGAAGACTTGCGTTTCTTTTGGCATTGGCTTCCTTTCCCAAAGAGCTAGAACTGATACCAAACAGTGGGAGAGCGTGTTGAACACATTTTTCCAGGTGCCTACAGACACAGCATCATCCTGCAAAGTGTTTTGCTGGGGAGGTTTCGACACTGCATGTTTCTGCAACATTTTCAGTGACAGCATCTGGATACAGACCATATGGCCAGCTTCCTCACCCTCCTGAGAAAGGCTGAGTGACACTCCTGGTTAGAACTTCTGTTGGTGAAAACTGCAGAGCCCTGTTCCCAAAACTGCTCGCAGATGACTCTCACTTTTGCCAGATTTTTCACCCAAATTCAAAAGAAACCGTTCCGGGGTCAGAGAGTTTTAGTCGTAGAGGCTTTAAAAAGCTCAAAATCAAAGTGAAAATTTTCTTGTTGGGAGAAATATTTTGTCCAGTATGAAACATATTAAGTATTAACTTTACAGTTCTTTGATTTTTAATTTTTTTTTTATGTGAATGAGCCAGCAACTCCAGAATCAACCTCCTTAAGGTGAAACTTGCCTTTTCCAAGACGACTTGAGAGGCAGAGAAGATGCAAAGCAAGTGTTCTCAGATTGTTGAAGTGACCTAAAAGCAGTATTATTTTTCCTTACCTCAGGCAAAAATACACCCCAAAACACCTACATATATGCCTTTGCACACCATGCAAATGCTTTGGGGTCAGGTGAGGGCTCTGGAGAAGGACAAAAACATAATTTCTCTAACCCTTCTCTCTTTGACACAGCTGGGCTTCCTGCCTCACTTGTACCTCTCTGCTCCCTTCAGTGTAAATAACTGGGAGAGGTGTTTTTGCTCAACCTGGAGTCCTCTTGGGCAACCAATGTTCTGATTAAATTTATCAGGTATGTTGCCATACCCCTCGAATGTTCAAATATAAGGGGAAAAAACCAGTTTCTTATTACAGAGATTTTTATGTAATACAAGACTGTCCAGCCTTAGTCACTCCTTGTTCATTAGCACGACGGTTCCCCATGGGAATGGGAAGTGCCCAGCCCATGTGGCATCCATTCCTACTTCCCAAGCTTAAGCTGCCCACAGGTGGAGGAGTCCCTGCTCATCACACAGTGCCAGCAGTAGCCCAGGAAAAGGCAGAGCCAGGAATAGCACTGACAGAGAGCTATCATTAAAGGAGAGAAAAGAAGCCATGCTGACCCAAGTCATCAGGTGACTAGGCCATTGAGATAAATGGAAATAAGCATATTTCTTACACAGATTGCTTCACCACCTGGTCACCAAGGTTCAGCACTGGCTTCCCACATCGTAACCAAATTGGAAGTGGCAGAGCTCAAAGGAGCATCTCCCAAATTGTGGTAAAGCAGAAAGACATCCTTCTCTTTGCTGCAGCACATTTACCTCTCTCCATCTCCTTTTTTCTGTTCAACTCCCGTATTTATTTCCTCACAAATGTTGTGGAAGCGAGGCTGTGCATTAAGCAAATTCACTTCTCTTTGGACATTGTGTACACAGACTTCCACTTCTTCAGATATTATACCAGAGTAGTCCCAGTATTTTCAGATTTGTATCCCTTATCTATTGCCACGATATCTGATGAGATAATCCAGTGGGCAAACCTGATCAAAGCCCAGGCTTTTCCCTTCCCCCAACACAGGGGCACAAGCACATATATCTGCGTTCCAGCTCATTTAACAACATAAAAGCCAAGCATTTTACATGTAGGATCCGGAACCATCATTTTCTAATGTCAAAGGTCACATGAAATACCTCTTATGTTGTCTCAGCCTATTTCCTGGCATAGAGTTGTAATCTCCGAGAACACATAAATGTTTCAGTATTAGTACTAAGAAGCCACATGAGGGAGCATTTGGAGAATTGAAATGCTTTCCTTGTATCATTGTAAATAAGGGAGGGAATCAAACTTGATACCTCTGGGATATATGGAATTCAGACAAATCTAGATGTTATTATTCATTTCTCCTCTCATACAGGGATGCGGAAATTGTGATTCCCACCGAAAACAAAGTGGTTTTTTTTCTTTAAAAAAAAGCCCATTAATGGTCTGAAACAGACCATTTCTTACTCTTGCCAAGGTATGCTGTGACTGGTATACCTGAAAGGGAGCACAGATAAAAGGGTTTACATTTCAGCTAAATGAAATTATAAGACACTCTGTACAGGTTATTCCAGGCTAAGTGTGACAGCAGTGCCAGCTTTCCCAGATTATCAACAGCCTCAGATGATAGTGGCAGGGAGTGGTAAGGTCCCAGTTCCTGCAATCTTCTGACTGGCAAAAAGCTCAACCTGCATGCTTCTAAATAATTTTTCTGCCTCATCCTTCCGTATCCTAGGGTTTACTAAAGAAAATAAAATCCACAGGTACATAAAGTTAAATTAATCCCAATATTCTTATGAACTGACACGCAAGTTTTGAATATTTGAGGTTGGCAGTACTGTAGTTAACCAAAATGGGAACTAAACACGATGTCAGCATGAACTGGAGTGGGAAATGCATATACATTTTTGCTCTGTACCCTTATTGCAGAAAAAAAATCAGCTGCAGCTTGGGCTATCCTCATTGACAGAGTCATCTCAGTCAAGCAACATCATATGACTGTACCAAAAACATTTTTGCCAGTAGTGCTAAACAGGTGTTGAATGAATAAAACATTTAGCACTCTACCTCAAAAGTCAACATCCATAGTAATTGCTGTCAATCAGAGAAACCCGTATTAAAGGTCATTTTAAAATCAATAGAAAAGCACCACCAAGATCCCATTTTTTCCCCTCATTATTTATCCCTAAAATTGCCTAAAGAGAAAGTAATTAACAAATTACATGAAAATCAAGTTGCAGCTATGATGTTATGAGCACCCATCGCTGTGAATGTTTGACTGTGAAATTTGCAACTGGTTTTGACGGGCAGAAGTTCCAGCAGCCTCTTCATCCCTTCTGCCTTAACCACACCACCAACTCCAGGCATGGCAGAATGGTGCAAGGGAAAGAGAAAAGAGGAAGATAAAGACGAATTTTTAACCGAGTACATTTGCTTGGAGCCGGTGGAGGAGTTTGGGATGCTCCTCGCTGCAGTTTTGGTGGAGGGAGTGGTGGATGCTCAGCCCAGGGCTCCTGCTGGCCACCTCCGAGCTGCAGCGGGGCTTGGCTGGCTGTCTGCTGGGTGTGGGCCTGCAAATCACAGCGTGGAACCGATCTGCATTTGAAATAATCCCTGTTTTTCTGAGGATTAAACGTAACCCGGATCACTTCAGTGAGCCGGTTTATGGCTCAGTCCCCCACCAAGTCTTGCCGCCGCAGCCAAGGGGGGAGCACGTGTTTGGGGGCAGGGCTTTGCTGCCAAACCCATGCACATCCTGATGGTGCAGTAGAGGCTGGCATTTGTCCTCTCTGATTTTTACCTCTTTCACTGCTTAGTGGTTTTCTTTGCGTGAAGTCATCTGACCGTTTTTATTAAACCAAAGAAGCTCCGAAAGTCTGGTGTTTGCCGATATCCTCATCTCCAGAGGACAATTCTTTGCAGCTCCAGTAAATAGGACTTTAAAGGTAAATGGTATTATAGTGTTAATTCCAAAGTGAATTATTCAAAAAGTGCTCCATATGTCAGCAAGCATCATTTTGTGGAACTATATTAATGTCTTAAATACAGTTCTCTCTTTCTAAAAGCTGTTTTATAGATCCAGGAAATATGTCTGGTATGAAGAAGTGCTTATTGTAAAGGATGTTTTAGCAGTTGTGTTCAATTAATGAGGAAGGCAGGATGTAGCCCTATATAAGAAGTAGCATAACAGCAATAATTCCTTGGGGCTTGAGAATCTTCACACTTTCAGGTACTGCACAGTTATCCATTCATTCAAGATGCCAGGTCGGTTTTGTTTCATAATCTTATTTAAACTCAAAAATAAAAGCT